GGCCAGGAGACCTGAAGTCACTCCGCACGCTAACGGTCGGTCATTAAGTAGCTTTTATGGTCATCATAGCACTTTATTGCTAGCGTTACCAGTAACGCTCTGCCTTAATGTACACTGAACCCTTTGTAACATGGGCTGGCCGGGGTCCTGGCGCACTCTATATAAGCCATCCCCCTCCTCTGAGACAAGGGTTCGCACCTCTGTAACCCATATTCATATAATCCAGTCGACCGCCTCCGGGCTCCGAGACGTAGGGCTATTACTTCCTCCGAGAAGGGCCCGAACTCGTAAACCTTGCATTCTTACAACTTCTCCACAGCTAAGATCTTGCCTCTCCATACTTACCCCCCTACACTACTGTCAGACTTAGAACCACGACAAGAGTCGCCGGTAAGCCGGCTCTTTGTGTCTAGCCCTAGAGATTGTTTCTTCTTCCCTGTCCCTCTTTGGGGAGCCCTGCCCCTCCTTATATAAGTTAGAGGAGCGGGTTACATGTGGAGTCCTAGTAGTTCTAGGATTAGTCTATCTTCTCTTACAAGTTGATTACAAGTCCGGGTCTTGCTTCCTCGTAAAGGAGATATTCCTCATGCCTTTTCTCTTAAGCCGGCCTACCATAACGTAGCCGGCCTTCTGGGCCTTGAGCCTCTTGGGCCCCCGGGTCTTGTCGCTCCTTTGATCCTCTTGCCAGGTCACCTATAAGTCGCCAGGCTCGGGTGGGTCACTTAGTGAGTCGTCCAGTCAGGGCGGGTCATTAGTGAGTCGCCAAGTTCGGCCGGGTTATACATCTGGCCGGGTCATACCGCGGGGTATATCCTCGACAGCGGGGTAAATCTCTTAGGTATATAGGATATGCTGATGGCGAGTATAGTAAATTTTACTATGTCCCTAATGCATATGTAAACCTCATTATCAGCATCAAGGCCGTAGTCTTTCTTGCAACGGTTTGAAAAAGTATCCAGTCGAATAGGTATCCTTATGACCAAGTTTTAATCACAACTAGATAACCCGTTGCTCTCTTGGCGGAAAGGCCAACTACAAGTCTACAACCAGAAAGTTAAGCAAGTTATGGAAAACACATAATAAATAATAAATATTCATTTTATGAATTATCCCCAAAGGGCATTAACACGAATAAGAATACATATGGGAACACTAAGAAGTAACGGACAAACTAACAAACAGAGATAACTATCCTGAATCATGACAAGTGATTGTTCATATTGGTCACACTTAAACATGGCCACGATGCAGGAAAGGTCAGGTGTGAATGTTTGTTTGGGTAGCGAGTGGAGAGCAGTGTGGAGCAACAACGCCATAAACGTCAACATCACTACATCGAGGAGTGTCCCTTCACGCCGAGTTCACTACACATATGGACCCGATACAATCGTGAAATAGGCTAGGCCCGAGCCTTCTCAACTGCAAGTCTTTATCGCACATCAATGCGGACCAGGGCCCTTCTCCTCGCTTTGATGCCATCAATGGGGGGCTGCAGCCAGTGTCATGTGGGAGGATGTTGTATTGGCCAACCAACATGTATTGCTTCCAGAATTGGGTACAATATATTTCAATAATATTTAATTGTATAAACATGAATATTTGGGATTAACAATATGAGAATTAAAACTAAAAATACATATGATTTATTGTATTTGATTACATGTAGTTATAAAATAATTATTGAATATAAGTGGTATAATCATTTTTAACATGTTAAGTGAGCTTTTTCCCGATGCATGGTTGTACATTAATGTAGTATGTTTGCATGTTGAGAAATATCTTAGTAATGATAATCTATTATCTTATATATGCCTGATATGTCCTTTTCCCCTTTTGTGCCTCTACCGTGCCTTCAGCCCATTGTCTCAAGTGGTCCCTTGGTGCTCATACCACAAGTCCCGTCAATTGATAACTCTAGGTTAAATTTTCCTTTTTGGTCACTTTCGGAAGTTATAGTTTGAAATTTTGAGAATTCTAGGGCAAACTGTTAGAACTTTGAACTTTTGGAAAATTTGAAACTTTCAGAAGCTCTCAATTCACATTTAATAAAATTTAGAACTTTTCAAATTCAAAACTTCCGTACCATTCAAAATAGGAAATTTCTGAACTCTCTCTATGTGTAAGCCCCACTAGGTA